CTTCCCCTTGACCCCGTTGCTCTCCAGCCAGCAGCGGTCCAGCCTCACCTTGAGCAAACGCCCCCGATAGGCTTCCTCGTCCTCTGCTGGCCCCTGCTGCGGTATCTGCGCAGCGGGCAAGTGGCGTCGGCAGACGTTTTCCGCCTCTTGCACAGTGTACAGGGTGGCTGGGTCCAGGGAGTGACCATTGATGAGACTGACCAGGTACTCTTTATAGTGCGCCCTGAGAGCAGGAGGGGGGGGAAGAAGCAGAAATCACGGTGGTGCGCTGACACTTTCCTTGTGCCAGTGTGTGCAATAACAAAGAGGGACCCTCCAATATTCCCACCCTCCTTACATGGAATCACAAGTAAGAAATAAATAAAAAAAATAAGAACAAGCTCTATTCGGGTGTGTTTTGTGAGCTGCCTTGAGCCTCTCTGTTGGGAAGCAAGAGGTCAATCACTCAATCACTCAATCACTCAGTCAGTCAGTCACTCAACCAACCAACCAACCAACCAACCAACCAACCAACCCACCAACCAACCAACCAACCAACCAACCAAACCAACCAACCAAACCAACCAATCAAATTATTCAGTCCAATAACCTCGCCCCCTCTATCATCACGTTCTTTACAGTAGGAATGCAGAGATGAATGAAGAGAGGTCCTGGCGGGAGCAAGAACCCTGGAAAATCTGGTTTCTCGCTCCTGCGACAGGCCTACACATGAGTAGGACTTTCCTCTTCTTCAGATCCGGCGCTGCTACTGTAAACTACAGGCCAAGCATTGTTCCTCCCTAAGCGTGTGCTCAGCACCAGGCTGGATAACGCCTGATTACGGCTGACATTTTTCAAGGAGAGAGGTGCGGATCTGTAGGTTTTTGGAGAAGCCTTCCCAGAATTCCCTTGCCAGCCCGGCCTCCCGGGGAATCCTGGGAATGGTCCGAAACCACAAACAGATGCTCCTCTCTCTACCTTAGAGCCAGCTTGATTTCCCTCAGTTTGGCTCAATGCCTTTCTAGTCAAGAAATGAGAAAAGAGTATGATCGTTTTCATCCGAAGAAAACACACACAACATTTCTGTCCTCTTGCAACGTGGTCTAGCAACTGGGGTGCCGGACTGGGATTTGAAATTCAAGGTTCTAGTCCCTATTAAGATCAAGGAGTGATCCCTTTCTCTCAGTTCAGTCTGATGGGCAGGATTCTTCTGAAGTAAAACCAGGGAGGAGCAGAGCCACATACACCAGCTTGAGCTCACAGTAGGAAAAGTGAGATACAAATGCAAGTTTAAAAAAATAAAATTAAAATAACATTACTCACTGACAAAGACCAGCATATCCTGCTGGGGTTTCTTTCCCACAAGGTTCATCCTTTAACCCTGCCATAGTTTCCTTCTGCTCCATAACACGGCATCCACCTGCATGGTAGGAATCCATGGGGATTATTCATTCATTTATAATATTTGCCACCTTGGCATCTTTTTTAAGGTGAAAGGTGGGATAGAATGGATAACATATTTCTATACCCCTTTTTTCGGTAATAAAGCCTCTCGGGATATATACATATAATACAATTAAACGATTACTTAAACCCCAGGGAACTGGAACACGAGATAAGTTTTATTCTTCTGATCGGTGACATGGATGTAGAGGGAGACAGATGTAAAAAAGAAGCAAGCAAACATCTGCACAAAAGACGGATCCCTCCATCCTATGGCAAAGGAGCTACCACAGAGCCGGACGGATCTTTTTAGTTTAGCCTCCTCACCTTGAAACTGGTGGGGAGGAGTGGAAGATAATTCCCCCTCCAAAGACGAGGGGAGACAGCGACAGGCCAAGAAGCACAAACGTATCTGGCAAGGCCAG